TCAGCCACTTAAATTTCCTCTTTTCATTGTTGTAAAGTCAGAGCTTAGAGCTATCCTCTTTTAGCCAATTCACCACAATTTCAGAATCACCTTCTATGATTAGTTTTTTAATATGCATGTCCTTGGCCCTTTGAATCCCTTCAAGAGCTCCTAGAATCTCAGCCCTTAAGGAATCTCCGACCCCAATTGGACTAGAATACATAGTTAACAGATTCCCTTTTTCATCTCTTATCACTCCTATTCCGGAAGGCCCATCAGTGTCAGCCTTGGCAGGATAAATCTCCCTAGGTCTATCCAACGGCTGTGAAGATTCTAAACTAACACGAGTCTCATATGTGTTGATATAAAGTGGGAAATGGCTCTAAAAAATTTTTTGGAAAGACCTTTGGTGGGGGGAAACTACCCTTGTAGCCTCTTTCCCTAGACTTTTTAACCTTACCCTTGACCAAGAAGCCACTATTTCTTTCTGCCTTCTAGACAAAATTGTTGAGAACACCCTAAACCTTTGACTCAGAAGACCCCTAAGGGATTCGGAGATTTCTGAATTAATAGACTTAATTCAGACCCTTAAAGAATCAAACATCTCCCCCTCCTATTCAGACACCTCAATCTGGACCCTGCACCCTACTGGCGAATTGTCTTCTAAGTCTATGTTCAAGGTTTTGATTGCTGATGAACAACATTCCTTCTTTCCTTTTAAGAAGATCTGGTGTAGCCACATCCCTTTAAGAGTTTGTTTCTTTGTGTGGGAAGCTTGTCTCCAGAAATTAAATACTTGTGATCTCTTGCAGAAAAAGTTTTTGGGAAGACTGTCTATCACTCCTCATGTTTGCATTTTATGCTTCAGTGAAGGTGAACCAGCAGATCACATTTTTCTTCACTGCAAGTTCACCCAAAAGATTTGGTTCCATTTCTTAAAAATGAAAGGTTTCAGCTGGGTTATACCAGAGTACATTATGGACTTCCTCCATCAATGGCAAGGAACAAGTTTAAGTAAAAGGGGTAAAGTTTATTGGCAATCAGTGCTACATGCAGTGTTGTGGGGAGTTTGGGATGAAAGAAACAAACGCCCATTTGACAACAAATTCAGGCCCCTGGAGGAGTTAATTTCAGACATTAATTACCTTTGCAACCTCTGGACGGTGAACTCAGATCTGTTCAAAGGACTCTTAGTCAATGATCTCAATAGAGATGCTTACCCCTTTTTGTTTCTCCCTCACCTCCATCAAACATCCTTGAGACATCTTGACCCCATCAGTGAAGGAGTGATGACCTTAAACTTTGATGGAAGTGCCTTAGGTAACCTTGGCTTAGCTGGTATTGGAGGCACAGTAAGGGATGAAAGGGGCAGCATTTGTTGGACTTTCAGTGGTTCAATTGGTTTGGCTGATTCCACAAAGGCTGAAGTGATGGCTGCTCTCACAGGAATCAGAATAATAATAAATTTGGGAATCCAGAATTTAATCATTGTAGGTGATTCAGCAAATACTATAAAATGGTTAAGAGACAAAGAGGGGGGACCTTGGAGATTGAGTCATTATTTGGCAGAGGCTAGCTGGCTAGGGACTTTTTGGACTGTTTAAATGTAAATATAGTTTGGATTCCTAGGGAACACAATCATACAGCAGATGGCTTAGCCAAATGTGGTGTGTATTTGGAGCATTTGTATAGCGACAAGCTTCCTCCTTTGTAATTTGTAGGGGTTCTTCCCCTGCTTTTGTACATCTTCTCATGTACCTCTTCTTCCTTTAATGAATCCTGGTTAAATTTTCTCAAAAACAGTAATCACGGTAGAAGTGGAGAATTACTAGCAGCTATACAAGAGGTTTAGCTAGCAAGTTAACTTGGTGTGGAAAATTTAATTAATTGAAGGTATGGCTGATGATGATGATGGTGACTCTGAGGTGGTTGTGGGGTGGTTGATGTTTCTGGACTCGGTTATTTGGTGTTTCAGAGAATTTTTAAAGAAAGTCAATTGGCTAATAAGAAACATGAATTTGAGATGCCAATGGGTACATAGGTTGGCAAACAAATTGGCTGATTCTCTTGCAAAACAAGGGGTTATTGGGGATAACTTGTATTGGGCTGGGGATTGGGGGTGTTTTTAGGGATGAGAATGGGGTCATTTCTGCCATGTTCTCAGGCCCAATTGGAGTGGGTGACTCCCTTAGAGCTGAGATCTTTGCAGTTATGGAAGGAATCCAGAAAGCTAAGAAGTTGAACATCAGGAAACTCATAATTGAAGGGGATTCAGAGGTGGTGATAGGGTGGCTGAATAAAGATAACAATGGCTTATGGAAGTACAGCATTGAGAGGAGGAAATTTAAGTGTCTGGTGCGGGAGATGGAAGTTAAGATATGCTGGGTTAAAAGATCAGCTAATTCCCTAGCTGATGATTTAGCTAAACAAGGGGCAGAAAGGGATTCACTGTTTTGGGCTAAGCTGTAACTTTAGTGTTTTTCCCTTTTCTTTTTCCTTTTCTTGAGGTCCTTTGTTGCTCTTGGAAGATAAGTGTGTTTGTCTTCCTCTTGTAAATCTTCTATTGATGATTTAATGAAGGTGTTATTGATCAAAAAAAAAAACAGCTTGTATTGGGCTGCTTTGTAATTGCTCGATTCTGTGCTTTCCTCTCTTTAGCTGATTGTAGCCTGTATTAAAAGTGAGGCTGCACCTTGCACCTACCTCAGGGATGCTTGTGACAATCATAGAAATAGTACCAAAATGAAGGTCATTGAGCATAAGTAAACTGCAAAGGGGCTTGTATATAATGGAGAGAGAAGAGAAGGATCTAAGGGATGCACCTTGCAAAGCAGTGTTCATTGAGAAGCTGTAGATCAATAGAAAGCAGGAAACTGGAGAGAAGAAATGTGAAAAAAAATGAATCAGAAAGAGAAGAAACTAGAGACAGATTGGGAGAGTAAAAAAGGAATGAATAACATGCCTAACACCATTTGGAGGTTGGAATTCACTGGAGACTACAATGGAACGGCAGAGAAAAGGAAAGGTAGGGTTTCAAATGGGTGGGGATTTTCTTTAGGCTGGGTAAGCCATTAGGGATTGGTTGTTTCTTCATGGTAAAGTTTTCCAAATAGTTTTTACTAAAAGGTTTGAGCAAATTTGGTGAAGGAGAGACATCCAATGTTTGGTTGGTAGACCAAATGGGCCTGACCTCTGAATTTGAGGTCCATTCAGTGTTATTAAACATGCCCTAAATGAGTGCATTTTGAATTGTCAGAAAATCAGGAAATTGTGTATGGAAATGGCTGATATTCACTGTGAGAGAGTACATCTTCTCTGTGATGTATAAGGAAATGGTTGTGTAAGGAAATGTGGTCTCCTTAGCTTACAATGTTGCAGCAGGTTGTCCATCTTTCAGTTTTTATTCTCCGTGATGTATAATGCCATCGCATGTGATAAATTATGGATCTTTGTAATTAAGCTTTATTACACGGTAATCCAATGTGTCNTCTGAACTGTTCAGTTTTTATTCTCCGTGATGTATAATGCCATCGCATGTGATAAATTATGGATCTTTGTAATTAAGCTTTATTACACGGTAATCSAATGTGTCCCTGTTGAGGCATTGCTTATCTTCAATAGTTGTAACACTTGAATATCATATCAGCCAAATAACACCAGGCCCCTAAAACAAAACCCAAAAAGACCTCTCCCAAAGGGAAATACTCCAGTGAAAGCTTTACATTTTAGGAAAATAAAATACTAGGTTMAAAAAACTGATGATGTGGTAAACCTCTGAACTGTTCAGTTTTTATTCTCCGTGATGTATAATGCCATCGCATGTGATAAATTATGGATCTTTGTAATTAAGCTTTATTACACGGTAATCCAATGTGTCCCTGTTGACTCTCCCAAAGGGAAATACACCAGTGAAAGCTTTACATTTTAGGAAAATAAAATACTAGGTTAAAAAAACCGATGATGTGGTAAACCTCTGAACTGTTCACGGACTGCCAGCCAAGAGTATATAGTTGCTGTAGCCCAACGCAACATCTCATCATCAGGGCTTCTCTTTGACTCAAACACCCTATGGTTCCTTCCCTTTCAAATAATCCAGCTGATTACTAGGGGAATCATACCCCAAAGCTCTTTATGCCTCTTGTTCAGCCCCACCGAGGCACCAAGTAATGTTGCAACCTCAAAATGTTTGGCAGAAGTTATAGTGGAGAAATTTGGTCTCAGCAATGATGGTTGGGACCTGGGAAGATCTTCTTCTGCCTTTGGCTGTTCCATCTGAAAGGTGTAGGGAAGGTACACTCGAGCTTCATGAGGGGATGAAATTAAAAATAAGTAGGATCTGTTTTTGGCAATACATTTGGTGTGGCCTAAGATGATGAGTACGCATTCACTCTCTTGAGATATTATCTTTAAAAGTTGAAACACTTGGGTATCATCTCAGGGTCTAATCAAGTTCCTTGGCAATTTAGAATGCTGGTGAGATTGGCTCTTTCCTTGGGTACCAGATTGAATATCTCATTCATTTGGATAGCCAGGAGTGTAAATATGTTAGCCAATTCTTTGGCATGATTGAGGGTAGGAAAGGATTGTTTGGTTTTGGTTGCCCAGGTCCGGGCTGTAACTCGTAAGCTATTTCCTATCTTTTTTCTTTTCTGTGATTTTATCTAGAGGATCTGTTGTACTTGGCCCACCTGCTATGTTTCAAGCTGGGTGGTTTTCTCTCCATTAATGAAATTTATTTCTGATGCTTATAAAATAACTCGGGGTTTAATTAGGGAAAAATACTTCGGTGATTTCTGAAGTAAAAACATTTTATGTAGATGCTATATGTTTGGTGGTTGCTAATAATTGGTTTTCTGTGGGATTTAAATTAGCCTAATTAATGGTGATTGCTAATAATTGTTTTTCTGTTAGTTTAGTTTTGTCCTGCAGTCATTGTTATCTATTTCTTTTTAATGTCTATCCCATTAAACTTTTGCTACTAAAATCCTATGATATAGACTTTGTTTCCAAATTTTTATCAGCCTAATCCAGGACTGCCTGCAACACATCATCGAAGGGTGGCCTGCTCTTTCAGGGATCAGTGTCTTTTCCAAATTTTCCAGATATCTCTGACATCATTGTGCCAACTTAAAAATGAAGGTAATATGTTAAAACATATTTCATTGTAGGAAGTCATGCCTTTTCTGTGTTTAATTTTCTAACTTTCATCTTGGTTTGATTTAATTGTTTGCTTTTCTGGTTTTATTCTTGTTTTATGCAGTTGCAAACCGGTTACAAGAACTGGCCCTTTCTCTTTCGCTGAAGTGTTTATCTTTTGATTTTGTGGGGACGTCTTTGGATGAAAGTTCTGAAGAGTTTGGTAGTGTTCAGGTAGATACTAAGATTTAATAATAGTTATCTTTCATTGTGCAATCTTTTGATGATTACATGATTCACCATAAGATATGTTTAGTGTGTTGCACTCTAAATCTTTCTCCTTATGGTTATATCACAGATTCCATCTTCTTGGAGGTCAGTCCTAGAGGATCCTTCAACTTTGCAGATATTTTTTGATTACTATGCAATCACTAAGCCCCCACTCTCAAAAGAGGTTAGTATTTATTTTATGCTCCAAATATACTTTAGTCTTGTACTTTTGATTGCTACAAAATGCTTGTGTTCTTTATTATGTCTACAAGGCCTTTGTAGTTCAGATTGTGTATTCATGTTTATTCCTAATATTAATACATATTTCTACTGAATATGTTAGATAAGGCAGATCATTAAACTCAAATGTTCCTGTTAGTGTGGACTAAGTTTTGTTTAATGGAAGATAGAAAAATTGGGATTCATATCCCTACATTCCTTCTAAATCAGGTCAGTGAGAATCCAGTTACCACTTCACTGAGGGAAGTGGTAGTGGCAAATCAAGAGTTAGAGTGTAAAGCTATTCTTGGTTAGCATATATTAAAACACATCAAAGGAAGATAAGCTGGTATATGGTAACCGCACTGAAGCGATAATCAATGTCTCACAATAAAACCTTTCTGCTGCCTGGTTGTTGGCATAAGATTTTGTTTGCATATCTGACCATGTTTTGTCAATCTGATATTTATTCACCTGCAATGTGATGATAAAAATGCAGTTATCATTACCTTTTACCACGGTGGCTAATGTGCCTGTGATCAGGATGGTGCTATTTTTACAAGCATGAGTTCTTTAATTGTGGTACCTCAAATGGTTCAGCCTCCAAGTAATTGTTGTAATTCTTTAAATCTGTTTTGAAAATTCTTTCACATACAGTGAGGAAAGTATTTATGCTGACCCAGAATTTGTTTTTATCAAATGGTGTTAGGTTTATATTGATCAAATAATGGTGTTAGATTCATCCTGAATGGTCATGAGTTCTGTACCAGCTACCAAGTATTAGCTAGACTGACTAGCTTTGTGACAGGTCAACACAAGGACCTATGAAAACCATTGTCCACTGCTAAATTTACTATTGGTTCTGATTTTTATTGCAATTTTTGGGGATGATGAGAATTACTTTTCTGGTTGAGAACTATGTAGGCATAATTGGTTGTTTCATCTCTGGGTGATCCTTGAGCTGACTAGGTCTACATTTTGGAGGCAATCCTAGATCTTGTAACTTCTGGAATCTGATCATAAAAGGATTTGCTAAGAAATTTTCTACTTGGAATAGAAATTACATTTCCTTGGGAGGAAGAACTACCCTGATAATACTTATCAAAAAAGAAAAAAAAAAACTACCCCAATAAAATCTACCTTTCGTATCTACCTATTTATTTCTTTTTTGGTGCTTTTTTTTTTTTTGATAAGCGAAGAGAATTTTATGAAACATGTAATTAAAATTGTTGGAAAGCTGTGTGATTTTTGCCCTCACCTGTATAGGTTGGGTATGAAGAATAGCTCCATTGCAGAATTTTGAGATCAATCAAGGTAGAGCAGTATGATGTCCTAAATTTAGGAGATTTCTCTTTGGTTGGGAAATTCAAGAGTGTGTGGATCTTTTGGCAAAGCTACAGTTAGCTGAACGTTAGGTGGAAAGGAAAGATTCAAGATGGTTGAAAGAATCTAGAAATGGCCTATTTTCAGTCAAATCTTTCTACAAGTCTTTGTCAAGGTCAAATGGAAAAAATTCAGATTCGAAAGGCATTTGGGGAAACCCTGTCCCCCCAAGGTGGAAGCTTTTGCTTGGCTAGTGGCATTGGATAACACATTTTGACATTAAACCATCTTCAATATAGAGGCTTTCACTTAGCTAGCAGATGCTATGCTTGTGAGAATGCTGAGGAGAATGTCCTTCATTTGCTTGTTGAGTGCCTTTTCTCCAAGTTCATTTGGGGTTTCTTCTTTAGGCTCTTCAAGGCTGGTGGTTGGTCTCCAAATGGCCAAAGATGATAGGAAATGTCAAGGCAAAGATCGCCTGAAACTGCATTCCTTTTGTAGTTTGCTGGGAACTATGGAAAGAAAGAAATAGAAGAATATTTGATGAGAAGGCTCAATCAAGGGAGCATATCACACTTCAATGCGGCAAAAGAATTATGGACTGGATTCTCATTCTCCCAGAGTTCGAAGGAATCACAAAGGAAGACCTTGGTTCTGGATTTTGGAACACTTTGTAGTTGGCCTAATTGTTTTCCTTTGTGTTTTTTTTTGCCTTTTTTTCTCAGAGTATCTTTTGTTTTTGCTCCACTCTGGTTTATATCTTTGTTTCTTAGTGATATCTCATCGCTATGAGATGTACTTCTTTCTTCCATTAATAAAATTTCCTTTTTATTTACTACAAAAGAAAAAGTAAGATACAAACAAGTTGGAAAATTCCAACAACCCAGAAGTACAATACGGATCACATTATTGCCCAAAATAATTGATGCCTATTAACCCCCTGTTTAGCTAGAGTGTCTGCCATCCAATTTGCAATCCTTCTCACCCAGTTAATTGTGATGTTTAACTCCCTTGATAGGCTTTCCATCTCCTTGAAGGCATGCCTATAGATCCAAGCTACTTGAGAGCTGCTTCTTGTCCCAGAGATGACCAGTTTTGTATGCTCCTCAACTTCCAATTGTGGAAAGCCAGATTGCTTTGCAAGTCTAAGTCCTTGCAGCAAGATCATCAGTTCAACTTTCAATGAATCTCTGGCCACAATAGGTCCTGAGTACAAAACCACCACCTTGCTTGCTGAATCTCTGAACACACCCCATGCCTGCCAGCTTCTGATTGTCCATAACACTCCCATCAAAGTTCAGTTTTATTTTATTATTTGCTAGAGGTTCCCATTCCATGGTCACCCTGTCTTTTCTTTGGAAGACTGCGACTTTAGCCCAAGATCTTAATATATCATTCACCAAGAAAATTTGAAAAAATTTCCAGTCTTTAGCCATGTGCCACTTTAATTTTTATGGTATCAAATTTCTTTTCCGTGGACCTGCTTTTCTCATTGAAGATTCTCCCATTTCTTTCCTCCCATATGCTCTACACCACTGCTGCCTTAAGAGAGAACAAAAATGCTCCCAAACATTAAGCAGAAAAGGACAGGAGATTAGTAAATGGGGAATGGGTTTGGTGATTTGGTGAGGAGGAGGCTTTGTGGAGGAGAGCCATTGTCTGTAAGTATGGGGTGGTTGATTTCAGTTGGGATTCAATGAGGGTTTCTCCTTCCAATGGAGTGGGTGTGTGGAATGGAATAATGATGTTTCAGTTTTTCTTGATGCCTTTTGTCTCTTGGACAGCATTGTAAACCCGGGAGCAGCTGAAGAGAACAGGTTACTGTTTAGCAAACAGATATGTTTTATGCAAACCAGATGGTGAAAGTGTTTTGCACTAATTGGTTGAATGTGATTTCACAAGTTTTATGTGAAGTTTCTTCTTTCAGCTGTTCAATTCAGAGGCTTGGTCATCTCATATGCCTAAAGACATTTTTGATCAATGGCCATCTATCAGGGGCAGCAAGAAAGTAAAGATTTTGTGGAGGTGTATACCATTTGCTGTTGGCTGGGAAGTATGAAGAGAGGAATAGAAAGAGATTTGATGGAAAATGAAAGTCAAAGGAGATGTGTGCTATTATTGGGGAAAGCTTCTTGATTGGGTGTTTCTGCTTCCGGATTTTCAAGGAATCAAAAGAGGGAGTATGAAGCTGATTTTTGGAGAACTTTAGAGCTGCAGTAGAAGTTGTTCGTTCTAGTTGTTTTTTATTGTCTTTTGTTTGTTGCTTTGCTTGTATTTGATCTGTTCTCTCTTTCTTTATTGATTTGGGGGTTTTGTACTATTTTTCTTGCTGATACTTTATTTAAATACAATACTTCAATTGTTGTTGATCAAAACAAAATTCCTGTTAACCAGAATTTCTATACACTTGTCATTCCTGAATACATGTATATTTCTGATTCTTTGTATTTATCTAAAAAAAAGCTTCTGAATCTCTTTTCTTTTGGTCTGCTTTGTTCCTATTTCAGGCTTTGGAGTGCTTAGTGAGACTTGCTTCTGTAAGGCGTTCTTTGTTCACAAATGATGCTGAGCGTTCCAAATTTCTGGCCCATTTAATGACAGGAACTAAGGAAATTTTACAAACTGGCCAAGGTGCTGTTCTTTTTATGTATGAGCGGTTGTCTTTATTTTCCTTTTCTAAATTATTTCTTTATCTGGTTTTTCTGTTGACTTTTTTTTATCTGTTGTTCCTTGTTTTTTGGAATTGCAGAAATATCATTCTTTAAAATGTTCCATAATATATATATATATATATATTTATTTATATATATTTCAAATGCTTGCTTGATCTTCTTCATTGTATTGCTTTCTTTTGTTCTTTTATGAAAAAAATTTATTAAGAGTTACTGTTACTTTATGTCTTGATTGTATGCCAGTGGATCCCTACATATTGGTTTGTCATATATTACGTCGGTGATCTTTGTATAGTATGGATTATGGCCTGAACAGTTTTTGGGAAAATTTCCAGTTTAACTAATATTTCTCTTATAGTAACTGTTTGATATCTCTTAAGTAAGAAATTTCTTTTTGCATGAAGCATGTGTTCTTTAGCCTCTCCATCATATGCTTATTTATGAGGAGTGGAACTAACACTTTCTCTTGTTTAATGAACCAACATTTTCCAATTCTGCACTCTAGTAGTTTTTTTGTTTTTTGTTGATAACCAAATCAGGATCAGCCTCCAACCTAGCATCTCCATTATACATGCCCATACTTATGGTGGCAAGGCATGCTCACATCCATTAGCATCAATGTCAGGATCAAAATGTAATTACCCGGGTTAGGTATTCTGGGTTCTAATGATTCAAGTCTCATCTATCAATCTCAAGTTAAAATTAATTCTTTTTTTTTGATCAGTAAGTTAAAATTAATTCTTGACTTGCAAAACAAAAATTATGTAGTGCTCATGCGCCATAAGTAATGAAAAGATAATATGGCATTTTTTTTTCAAAGGTAAAGTGTGTTCACATACTTTACAATATATTAATGTACATCAGGGGGTGTTCTATAATAAGACCTCAAAACAGAAAACAAAAGTAAGTTTCTATAAGAAGTAGAATGCAGAATGGGGTAGTTTCACTGAATTCTACCCTGAATTCTTTTTAAAGTCAATCAAGAATAGAAAAGGGAAACACTAACAAAAAATCCCATCCACATGCTTAAATCATTCATCTGGAAACAAGAGTGGAATCCTGGAGTGATCAAGGGAATCCACATCTTACTTTGAAGATGCCCAAGAAGAAAGAAAGAAGGTGGAGGTCTTAGATCTGAGGATTGCTTTGAGAGATGTTGGGAGTTAGAAGGAAGAAGAGATGATAGATTAACATAGGGTCTAGTAGATACAAGGCAAGGTCAATGGGTAGTCTTGCTTCAAAATCCAATGAAGTATGCTTTGAATCTAGGAGAAATTTGAGAGAATAGTTGCTGGTTTTCTTCCAGTTGCAGAGAACCACTAGAAAATAACAAAGAGATAAGAAACATTGTGCTTCTCCAACAGTGATTTCAAGAGGATAAAGAAGTAGAGAGAATGTCTAATAAGAAAATTCATTTATCCATTGAGTGCCTTCTTTGAACAGAATTACCTATATTTATAAAACTCTTTCCTTGACTGAATGGAAACCCAGAACTTAGAAACTACCATGACTCCAAAAGACTCTTCAAAATGGTTGTTCCTAATAGTTTCCTGAATGCCATAGAAAGCTGCTAAATTGTGCAAATACTAACAGAAACTTCGGCATAAAAGGAAACAATTGGAAAGAAACTGTTAGCTTCAAAATCTTGGTTCAGCTTTGGTGCAACTCTCGATTCTTCATCCTTTTATATGATTTGGTAACTTTGGGATGCTCAAATCTCTTCATGAATTGTTTTTGTGTATCTTCTATTGTTGTTGAAGACTGAACTACATCATGGAACAATCAAGTATATCCTATTGTTTTAGAAGACGCTCCTTGGACATGTTTAGGCTTGTAGACAAGGTTCTTTTTTTTTTGTCTTGTGCCTCACTTAAATATGTATGCCTCTCATCTAGCTTTTTGTTATGGTTTGATTAATTAACCTTGAATTTGATGTTGAATAAGTAATTACTTAAACTACTCGGTTTTCAAAATCTGCTTAAAGTATTCCTGAGGTTTATGAAATATTCTTTTTAGAATGCCATGCCTGTAAAATAGACAAAAAGGCTTTTTTGCCCTTAATTATTATTCAAATTTTCAAAACCTGTTAACTGCCATCAAACCCCACATGCAATATTTCCATTCCTCTCATGTCAACTCCATTTCCTCTTCTTCTCCTTCTCCTTCCTCTCTCTTTCTTCACCTCCTCTTTTTTCTCCCCTGTTTCTTCAACTGAATCAGCTCATTGCTTGCAGTTGAATCCCTCTCACTTCTTCAAATTTTAGGCTTTGGCCTAAAATGAGGTTGATATGTAAATTAAGAGATCTTGGAACTATTGATAGGGAAAAAACATAAATTTGAGTTATGGTGGAGGGTAATGTATTTTCCTTTCCATGTAAGTATAGTCCTTTACTTATTTTTCAAGTATAAACAAGGGCACTAAAGATAACTCTTTATTTTTCCCATATTTTAGAGGGGCACTAGGTAGCTTTCTACTTGTTTCTTGAAATAAAAGTGACACATTTAGATACCACTGGTAATAGTGTAAGCAAAAGTAGGAAATGATTTGTCTAAACAGTATAAACATGAAAAAAAAGGAAAGAATGCCATATTATCTGGCTCCTTCTAATTGTAAAATGAGTACTGGGAATTGGATAGCAAATCTAACAGAAAGAAATGATCAAAATAAGTATCCCCCATCACAGTGGTAAACAGCGTAGCTTAGTCTCAGTTTGGAAGGAGTACAAATACAAATATGTAGAGTGCAAAACCTTGTATTTTGTATTATTTTGTATGCATTTGCACTGTGCATATTTTTATTTGTATTCTTTCCAAACTGAGCCTTAGAGATCAAGAAGCAACTGCTACAGCAAGAAGAAAAAGAGCCACCAGCAACATCAGAAACAAGGTGGCACAAAACTGTCCTGAATGTCTACTACTTTTCCAAGAAAAAGAATGCCATATTTACCAACTCCTTCAAGGTTCTAAAAGGCTTATCCCCAAATGAAAGAATATTATTGAATTCTTCTTTATGGAGGGAGATGTAGTTTCTTGATATTCTATCTTTAGGAGACCCTCTTCTTTTGTATGTTAATCAAAGAATGTCTATTTCTTTTCCAAAAACTTCAAGGAATTATTGTCAGGTCAGGCTGATGGGACAAAATTGACTTAAGAGGAACATTTTGAAAACTTACAATTAGATCCTTCTTTTTCTACAAGCACTATGGGGACCATTGACTCAGGTTGCATTTGGGGGAAGTAGGTCTCTCCATGAGTTGAGGCATTCAAGTTCTTTTATCCCTCACAGATATCCCTTGTTCTTCCAGATGCTACCTTGTATCACCAACTTGTGGGGCCCCTCATCTATCTCAGTAGGACTTGTCTTGATATTTCATATGCAGTTTAGGCTGTTAGTTTGTTTTTTCTTACCATCAACTTCATATGACTGTTGTTCATCGCATCATTTGTTATGTTAGTCTTTGAGAAATCGTTAATCTAACATAACAAATATCCCTTGTTCTTCCAGATGYTACCTTGTATCACCAGCTTGTGGGGCCCCTCATCTATCTCAGTAGGACTTGTCTTGATATTTCATATGCAGTTTAGGCTGTTAGTTTGTTTTTTCTTACCATCAACTTCATATGACTGTTGTTCATCGCATCATTTGTTATGTTAGATTAACGATTTCTCAAGGACTATTTTTCTCCTCTTTTCCCATAGTTGAGAGCATATGCTAATGCTGATTGGGCTGGTTGCCCTGACACTAGTGTTTTAAAAGAAAAAGGCGCAAGGGCCATTTTGCGCCTGAGGAGCTAGGCGAGGTGCATGCCTTTATGAGGCAAGGCGAACAAATTTTTTTTTTTAAATAAAGCTAAAAAATAAAAAAAGTCAAAAAATTCAATCCCCATCCCTGACCCCGACCGAGGATTCCTATTAATCCATGTCCCCAACCCCGCCTTGCCAAAACAATCCCCATCCCCGGCCCCATCGGGTTGGGTAAGTCGGGGATGGGGAAAATTGCCATTCCTAGGTGATTCTCATATCTCCTGAAAGTGTAATAAGCAGTTGACAGTCTCCAAGTTTTCCATTGAAACTGAGTATAGGGTAATGTCTTTTGTTTGTAATGAGACTGTTTGGTTACAGTCTCTCTTTATGGATCTTGGTACTTAACTTTCCACTCCTATCCCTCTCTATGCAGACAATATGAGTGCTATCAAGATTGCCTTAAACCCTGTCTTCCATGAGAGGACTAAACGTGTCGAGGTGGATTGTCATTTCATCCGAGATCTTTTCACTGTTGGATCCATTTCACTTCCTCAAGTTGCCTTGGACGTGCAGATTGCTGATATCTTCACCAAGGCCATGGCTAGGGCTCAACATCTTTATTTCATGGGCAAATTAATGCTTATGTCTAGGCATTAGTTTGAGGGGGAGTGTGGAGATTCTAAGACTTGGATGTATAGTTTTATTATATAGTCCCTATTGTAATTGTATATATCTTTTTGTTTAACAAAAATTTTTGGGGTGGGAGTTGGCTATTCCATTGACACCCTTGAAATTGTTTGTCTTTTCTCTAGTTCAAACCTTCTTGTTGTCACACAACCAACTCCAACAAGAGCATTGTGGAATCTCTCAAACCAAGCATGCTTATTTTTTGGGTTCTTGTAATTGTATATATCTTTTTATTTAACAGAAGTTTTTGGGGTGGGAGTCGGCTATTCCATTGACACCCTTGAAATTGTGTCTTTTTTCTAGTTCAAACCTTCTTGTTGTCACACAGCCAATTCCAACAAGAGCATTGTGGAATCTCTCAAACCAAGCATGTGGAGACTACTTGAGCCCATAAAGAGATTTCCTTAGTTTGTAGACTTTCCCTACATATCGGAAAGAAGAGATATATATACTACTTCATGAAGATCTTGATTCAAAAGATATTTTTCTCATCATTTGTTGCAGATGCTATGAAAAGGATGCTGTGAA